CCCGTTCCCCAATTCCACATGCGTCCTGGCCTGCAACTGTCTCCAATGGGTGAAATCCATTCCTGAGGGAGATCCATGGGGAGAAAACCCTCAAGAGGGTCCCAGGACCCCTACAAGAAGTCCCCACACGGCCTCTGCCAATTGCCTCGGGTTTCAGCACCTTCGTCATCTAGAAGGGACACCAATCCGAGGCGGCACAGCCCAAAGGCCTCAGCCAGAGTTCCTGAAAAACACCTTCTTGGAGCGAGACCACCTCTTCCTCGCAGCGTCGCTGTGGGATCGCCGGGATGATGCTGCCAGCCGGCCAGTTGTTCGGCTCCAGAGATCGAGGGTTTCTGGTCTATGGCTCCGGGCCTGGCCTGCTCTGATTGGTGCCCGTGTCTATTCTGAGATGGCCCGAAGGGGGAGTGAAACCCGGGCCTGCGGGCAGAGGGCTCTGTGGGGGTTTCTTGCAGGGGTCACAGGAGTCAGAACACCTGACCACAGCACTTCTAGTGCTTGGGCAAGTCCCCTCTCTTGGTCTTCTGGCCAGGTTGGGCTCGTGGTGGGCTCAGCCGGTGTCTGCCAGAGGAGAAAGGGCAGGAGCACAGATGAGAAGAGCACAATTGTTAAGGAGGAGACTCTGGAGCAGGGCAAGTTCCCCCCAACCCCCTCGCTCCCCTCGTGGCTAATGCTGTGGAGTGCACTTGGCCCCGTGCAGGGAAGGCCCCAGGCTCTATTAGGGCCTTGTCAAGCCGGCCACAGCAGGGCCTGGTTTCCTCAGATGTGAGGGTGAATCTGTCGCCCAGCTCCGAGGGGCCGACTCCTCCCTGAACTGAAGCCTGAGGAAGCCCCACGCTGGGCTGAGTTGTCCTGAGTCAGGTTCCAGCCTATGCAGGAGGCAGGAGCTGGGCTGGTGAGTCTCAGAAAAGGCATCGGCACCTCCAAGGAGAACCAGCAACTCAGTCTGCTCAGTGTCGCTTCATGGCTTGGCCCTCTCCTCTGCCTGAGAGTGGTGCCAGGCCGCCCAGGCCTCAGCCTGCTCCAGCCCTGCTCCTGCTCCGGCCTCGTCCCTAGTCCTAGCGCAGCCCGGCTCGCAGTCCAGCTAAGCTCCCAGCCCTGCTCCTAGA